ACACAGGTCATATACAAAGGTTTGTCTGAGCGCCACGGGTCGATGTCGCCCGCATGCTCCGGTGCCGCTGCTCCGTCCGGCGCCGCTGTAGTCAGCCCGAGCATAACGCCACTCGACCTGCTCCGTCCGTACACGCTCTCGTTGCTGTCCTTCCCAGTCGGTTCCTCGCTTTCTCCCTCGTCGCACTTGGGGTTCTCGGTCTGAAGATTCTCGCGCCGAGGGTCAACCAGCCCAATCAGCTCGTCACCACCTGTCCCCTTCTCCTTTGATGGCAAAACCAGGTTACTGAGACAGTACAGCTCCCTCTAACAAACCTAGGGCCGTGTACATAGTTCCCGTCCACCTTCTGACGGTGTCTGCCTCCGCGCACAAAAAATGAGATGGGCATCGCTGCCTACGCCGACGGCCAGAGGCCCGCGCATCTACATTTTTTCGCCTGACCCCATCAGTGCCGACCCAACTACACCACCACGCGCATGCCTCGCGGCGGATATGCGCAGCAGCAAGAAGGTTTCGGTCATCCCTTGAGGGTGAGTCTAGCCCTGCTCGCCAGAAAGACCCCCCCCTTCACTACAACCCATGTCTAAGCAAAAGCTTGTCGAGGAGCGAGGGGGAGAAGGGAGATGGATGGGCTTGAATGGGGGTTGCCTCAGAAAGAGCAAGAAAGACGGGTGTTTCTCTCTTGGTGTGACCGGTGGCAATATCGATCAGCAATGCCGCACAGACTTTTCCGCGCCGAAATATGCGTGCAACAGCTTTAACCTAACCACTTCGGTGGAAAGCGGATTTCTGTTCGATACGGTGTCGGGAGTGCTGAGGGGGGAGGGCTTGGCCCTTGTGGTTGCAGGTGGCAAGGAAGTGGGAACAGGGGGTGGCAGTGTCGGGGGTCTGGGGGAACATGGGCTTGAGTGGGGGTTGCCTCAGAAAGAGCAAGACGGCGGGTGTTTCTCTCTTGGTGTGACCGGTGGCAGTATCGATCAGCAATGCCGCACAGACTTTTGCGCGCCGAAATATGCGTGCGACAGCTTTAACCTAACCACTTCGGTGGAAAGCGGATTTCTGTTCAATACGGTGTCAGGGGTACCAGGGAAGACGGGGCCGAGTTTTGTTTGATTTCGGGTGGATGAGGTTGGGGTTTTGTTCGTTTTTCTCCATCTAAGGTTCGTGCCTAGAGTTCAGCTGTAGTATGTAGTGTTTCGTTCGACAAAAGTTTTGTTGACTTAGAGGCAAACATTCCTAGCTATTGGGCATCGAGTTAATTTGGCTTGGCATGACGGCCTTTACGATCGACTTTTTATGTATGTCTGCATTTATCTGCAATTAATTGTCGGAGGGCAAACAAAATAATAATAATAATAATATTCATGTAGAGTATTATTATTCATGTAGAGTATGAGACATTAAGTGAAAGTTTTCTGAGGTACATCTGCAATTGTCGGAAGGCAAAAAAAAAAAAAATCACCCAACCTGCATCATACATCCATACTTTTTGAAGCAGCTCGTCCCAGCAGGACGACTCGCACAACAAGAGTTCACTCGAACATCGCTTGAATGAACGAACGTAAATGACGTAAAAAAAGTATTATTTCTGTTCGATACCTTTTGGACATAATAACAGCCCGGGGGTAGCACCGGCATAAACTGAAGCCTTTTTCTCTCATTTTTTTCCCGTGGCCGAAGTTGTACTGCTTGAAAACGGAAGCGGCGGTGGGAAAAAATGAGGATATATATATATATATATTATTATGCCAATTCCCGAGGTAGTAGGTGTTGTCGGTGTTGTCGGAGGTTCGAGATCGGGGTACGTTACAGAGGAGAGAGAACCCGATTGTGTGCGGAAAAGGTCAGAAGGGGTAGAAGACCTGTCGTGTCTGGGGTGACGGCGCGTGCACTGCGCGATGAATCTAGCGAGCTCTGTCGAGAGTGAGTGTCTTATTGCACATAGGAGTGACTCAATCAAGTTCCTTGTTTCAGAGACTCACGTTCGTTCGTTGATTGTATCAATTTGATAATGACAGACAGACATGAGCAAAAAGCAGAGGCAAACAAAGCATGGTGGACCGAAGTCTGCCTACTACATATATATCATACCACCCGGGACCCGTAGTCTATTTCTTTGTACTATCTTTTTCCAATCTAGGGTTTCCTCGCATAGCGTGTACAACAGCCAAGCGGAGTGGCCTAGACTGTCGTTGAATTTTAATGAGCCGCGGAGCGAGCGAAGCGAGCGACATTTTTTCCCTTCGTTCGTCCCCAGGAGGGAAAAAAAGGCCATAATAATATATATCGGCCAAAGTTGCGCCGCGCGATACAGACAGACAGGATGGAGATTTTTGTCATTTTTCTGCCCAGTCCAGGTGGTGGCTGCCGCTAAGCCCTACAATCAATATAAGATCTTGTTTAGATAATGGTGTATTGAAGATGTAGTCTAATGGTTTAGTAGGCTCGCCATTTGTTACGACGAAGGAAGTATGAGCCTCCACTCGATCAGTTTTTTTTCTTCCTTTATTTTCGCTTTTTCTTCTTTTTTCATCTATCCTAGCTCGATTTTGGGCGAAAAGGGGGCCAATAATAATAATAGCGTCTGGATGTCATACAGAGACGAAACCAACTCTGATGGCACCAAAACTTTCCATAACGTCTGATCTAGGGTTGCTTGCCACGCCACTGAACGAAAAACGAGAAAAAGAACACTCATAACCTCTTCTTTGCGCAGTGCCTAGGCCAAGGGAGTGGGCCTAATTCGGCCCCAAAACAGGCCCTAAAAACAAGGGTATTCCACGTTTTTGTCCCCGGGTATTCGCGTTTTTTTTTTTCTTCCCCAATGGCTTGGTGTCACCATCACCACGGTGCGTGCCACAAAACAAGTTGTAAAATGCAGTATAACGTGAGAAATCACTAATACAAAGTGTCCCTTAATTGGCGCCGGGGGTGTTATCCTCTGTTTTACGGTATTATAACCAACTTCAGGTAAACTACAACAGCCATAACTCATCAACAACAGTTGAGTTTTCTTTTTTGTTATAGGTAGCCTATGACATAGGCTGCCGCTGGATACTTTTATACACTTCAAATTCGTTCTCACACCCGAGAACGAGCTGTTAGCGTGGGAGCGGCTTAGGTGTGCCCCTTCATAGGGACATTTAATTTACTCTTATCTATCTATTTCTCTTCGGAAGTTCCAGACTGTCGATGACAACGACGTCAGGTTAACTTACCAACCATCGTTGTACCTCTCGCTATGGTTGTCAACTGCTAATTGACGGAATACCGCACATACCCAGCACGACTACTGACTGCCAGCAACCATGATGAGTGTAAAAAAGGCCACATACATACATGCTGACCTCCTCTCTTCTCACACACCTCAGATTGCAGGCATCATGAACGCAGCAACAAAATATATATATGTGCAATGACCCCGGAAATATAATATGCAGACATGGACTATTATAGACTACATGCATATTGCTATGCATATATATGCGGAGGAGTAAGTAGTACTTGTTTTTGATCGGTTTCCGAGGACTCTTTTCTCGAACGGTCGGTGCAGTACCTGTTCTTTTCTTTCTATCATTTTGTTTTCTTTTTCCGAGTGGTTTGTATACATACCCTATTTTTGTTTTGTTTCCCCGCGGCGTCGTTTGTGCCGGATTTTGAGACCACGGGCCCCCTTCTGTCCTACCACTAGCCTATAAACACTTGACGGGGTCGATTCCCGTGGTCACAGGCCAACTTACTACCCAACAGAGGTATTTACGAAAATAAAATTAACCCGAAGGGTCCGCAAGCCAATAAATACTAGGTAGATTTTTCTTTTTTTGGCGGGTGTGGGAAGCGTCCTCCTTTATTTTATTTTTAATTTTTTTGGATCGGTTTCCGAGGGCTCTTTTCTCGAACGGTAGGTGGTGCGGTGGTAGCTGTTTTTTCTTTTTATCATTTTGTTTTCTTCTTCCGAGTGGTTTGTACCCATTTTTGTTTTGTTTCCAAGGGCGTCGTATGTGCCGAATTTTGTGTAAATAGGCTTCCCGGAAACAAACCAAGTTTTGGGGGCCCTCCCTGTATCATCTGGGGCCGAATGTTGTATCAAACGAAGTTCTTCACCAAATGGAGTAAACTTGAGCTTAAATGAAAGGTGAGGTCCATAGCAACACAATAAAAAACAGAACAACAGCTTTCCGCGGGGTGAGCGGCAAGATATGGGGCCTGTCATTTAATTGGGACATTAACTCTATTCTGTTGTTGCAGCGTAGGTGGCTGGTCGTGGTCGACAGTCTAAGAGAAGAAAATAACGTGGTGCGGGGTACGTCGTATTTGACGTGGGGGTGTTGCTTTGCGTATGGTGTGTGTGGGTTCTGCTCTGTCTGCCTTTTAATGGTTTTCAGTCAGTACGAAATGAGGTACTTGTTGTGCGTCCATTATAATTTTTTGTCGGCGGCGTAATGTATATTGTAGTATCCTGTCGAAGCAGCAATAAAATGGAGGCTAATGATTGGAACGGTCCGTAGTAAATTGTGCACAAGAACCCTTTGGTACTGATCGTCGGTGCACGTTCGTTCCTGAAGAGGAGTGGATGTAATATATATATATATATATCCTCTGCCCCTCCCAGCCTCGCAAAAGCGCCCCACAAACTAACGTTCCACGCATGGTTCTCGGGAGATAGATGCAGTCGATTGCGGTGCAAACCAGCCACCTGCAACAACATATTCGCCTGATTGAGAGCGAAGTATCTGATTGAGAGCGAGAGCCAAAAAAATTGAAATTTCGGGTCCAGACGCCTCTTGCCATTTCTTGGCAAGTAGGGGACGGGCTATTCCAAGAAGCGGTGCAAATTGAAGGTCTCATCAGCAGCTTCGCGAGCATATGCGTGTCATCGTCATCGGATGCTGCAGCGAGGAGCTAGACAAGTTGCTAGATTTGCCCAGATTGGCTATTTCTGCTCAAACTGTTTCAGGGCGGTATCGCGTCGGGCGGTGGGCTCTGCTGTAGCTTCTGCTCCCCGCTGTAGCTCCACAACGAGAGACTCCCACAGGATGACCAGGGTAGCGGCTTGAAGCTACGGGCTAGCCCTTCAATTCAAGCTACACAGCAAGCTCCACCTCTCAGTGGTAGTCCGGCTACAGCGTATCGCGCAATCTCGCTCTCAATCAGATACTTCGCTCTCAATCAGGCGAATATGTTGTTCTGCATCGTCGACCTGAACGTGACTCTTCGCGTCGTGTGGGGTGCGTCGTTGTTGACGGCCCGTGGGGGTCCTGAAGTAAGAAGAGGGGGGGTTTGTTCGGTGGATCAATCGAACGGGGGAGATCTACAAACATGAGACACAACAACAGACGGAAGCGTTCTCAACAACAGAGATGAGTTGTTACACCAAACTTACAGGAGGGGCGGACGGGGCCAGGAGGGACACCTCTTCCAATCCACACGACAATCTGTCAATGGGATCTCGAGAAATATCGCCCGAAGAAAAACAACTTGCTTTAAGAGAAGAAACCGGAGATCGCCTTCTAAAACCAGGTGAAAAAAGGGAGTGGGGTCACTTTTGGTGGGGTCAAAATCGAATTTGGTCTGAGAATTTCCGCAATGGAAAACTGAAGCAAAAAGGCTTCAGAACAGGCACCAAAGATAACCATCGTTCATCGTCAATACCACATGTCGCTCGCTCCTGCGTTTGGCCTCCCCACCTTACGTTTTCTCCCAGAATTTCGTTTTCTCCGCTTCAGGTATGCATGGCGACGATGGTGATCTGCTACTTTAGCTGCTCGAGAAACCTCGCGAGTGAAGGTGCCTGCCCTTCATCCCGCTTTCAAGCATTGGATTTCCACAAACCAAGCGAAGAGATAAAAAAGCACTCAACTATAACATTGGGTTGGTTCACCGCAGGCAAGCTTACCTTTCCGTGGCGAAGACAGAACGTAAACAAAAAACACAACGAGCAAGAAAGGAAGAAGACAGGCCCGCCTAGTGTATCGTTCCACGCGCCTGTTTGTGTTGTATCTCGCCAATAATACGCTTCTAGGTGACAGCAAAAAAGCCTTTACGTTACCTTTAATGGCCACATGTTGAATCTATTGGTCTTATGGTATGGCACATACTGCGTTCAGTTAGGCGCGGCCACGTAGGTCCAACGTGAAGAGACTCCCGCTTGAGCAAAGGAGCCGCCACCGACAACTCAACACGCGATCAACAGAAAAAAACTACGCGAGCCGGCGCACCTTCAATAATAGTAGTCTTGACACTCACGCTTGCCTCGGTATCGGTACCCCCGCAATACTACACCAATAGAGCGTGCATACTGCCAAGTGTAATTGAACCTTCGGCTCCAACCCACCCTACCCGAGATGAATCTTGCAATCATCAAGTCGTCATGCCATACGTCACACAGCACAACACCACTTGCGGACGGTCGAAGGGAGAAAGGAGAAAGGGGTATTGTCAACGACAAAAAAATCACGGAACATTTCGCGGACTCGTTTTTTGTCGAACATATATGGAGGCGTTTGTCCCCGAAAACGTGAAAAGAAGAGCCGGGATTTTTTGGGGCTTGCTACTTTCACGGATCCGCGTTTTTGACAAAAGCATCGGACAAGCGCACCGCGGGTGCTGTAACATCACTGAGAACTCTAGGAAGACCTGCCAGACTCACATCCAGGTCTGTTATGGAGATGGACAAGCGGCAGAAGCGGCGTTCAGTCCGTTCTTGGTCCAAAACTAGACATTGCGTGGTGCTCTCGGCTTCAATTGCTGCTGTTGGTGCTGGGGATTTTTTTTCACACATGGCAACACGGAAATAGTAGAACGAGTACAGCAGCAGCACCAAGACCTCCAAAGCGCTGATTCCTTCGGTTTGGCTGTCTACATGATACCATCTCCCGGCGCCGTGCTGCTTCGTGGGTATTGGGTGGTTGGGTGCTGCTCAGTAAGGTGTGTGAGACATGTGTGCCACCTCACCAAACTGCCGTTGGAAAAAATGCGACGAGATGATCTGTTTTTGGTCGGACACGTCAACATCAATCCACGGTACCACGCAGCAGAGGAGCAACAGGGCCTCCGACACGCTAATTCTTTCTGATTGATCATCTATACATAAATGATGCTGGCCGTCAGCGCGGCTGCCGCCCTATGATTGTTGAGCTTGTCTACCTTTGGGCAGTTGGTGGTCAAAGGTGGGAGTCGCAACCGTGAAAAATGAGCTCGCAAACTGAAAAAATCGCAAGCAACACCCAGGTTGCGACAATCTGCCCTGCGCCTGTTGTTGCTGAAAACTGAAATCGGCATGCCGGGTGGATGGGATGGTTCTAAGTGTGTTGTCCTCCGTGTCGGGTGCTGCTCATTGCGTTTTTACCGCTGCTCTATTGTGAGCACCAAGTCAACCTGTTGTGTGCCGAGCAAAGCGTGTATTCAGGGAAGGGAAAGTACTTTTTGCGATGGCATCACGAATAGAAAAACGCGAAAAAATGTCGGGTTTTTTTTTCACCGTTCCGTGGAAAATTGCACGACTTTTCCGAGCCTGAGGCCCGTTTCATGACCCGCAACCTTAACTTGAACAGAGAGCACACGCGCACGTCGCGACGCCGCAACCAACCACCGTAGCCAAAGTATGTCGGCTGCGTATCGCGACGCTAAGCACGGCCTCGACGATCGGGCGAGTTTCCCCGTCCCTCACCCTTAGTCAGACTAGTTTCTTTTGCTTGAGCAGGTCTTGAAATAAACTGAGCTCCCTCTCGAGTACTTGCTGGCCCTTCTTGAGGTCCTCTTTCACAGAGTTAAAGTCGCTTGAACCTGCATCCCCGTGGTACCAGATGAGCAGGGAGGTCATCGGCAATGGGGTCGGATGCCAACAAGTAGAAAAAGGGCATACTGCAACAATACAAACAAGATCCGCGGGGTTACTACATTTGACTACAGAGTACACGCTGTTCGGGCGCAGACACATCACCTCCGATACTTCCCTGATGTTCGTTCCTTCCTGCAGACTTTGCGCGGAACCCTGCAAGTGAATGTACACGTAATGTTCGACTGCCTCCACTCGTTGTATTTGAGGCCCCCGCTTCACGAGCAATTGTGGCATGTACTCCGTTTACGAGTCGGCTTCCGAAGCTAGAGTTAGCTAGCCCCCGTCGCCACGTCGCCTTTGAGGCGCTTTCCTGTCTCACCTTCCTGTAGCCTGGTGCCAACTTGGCCTGCCCTCTCCAGGTATAATGCGGAAAGGCGCAAGCGATGGCACATAAGATTGGCGGCCGCACCCTTGATCGAATGAGCTTCATGTTGTGTGTCCTGTACATAGCAAACCGTCAACGTTTTCTCAGACACCAGAATGAAAGAGCTTGGGCATGAGGGGAAATCGTGAGATGAGTGGGCAGCAAGGGAATGGCAAGCGGAAAAAAGAGACGGCCATCGACATTCGTTCTTGACACCTACACTCCTCATAACAGACGAACCACAAATGGTCTCCACGCTGCTCAAGGGTGGTTGCGCACACAAAAACACTCACACGCATTGCACCGCGAGGGATGAATTCCCTCAGTTGCTCCATATGCGCGTTTGACTCGTTCCACAGGTCCACAAGCAGCTCCTCAAGGAAAGAAACGTCTCCCGAACACTGTTTCGTGGCGCGAAACGTATGCCCAAACGATCGACAACAGCGGGGAGGTCAGCGACATCAACGTGCCCTGGCGGATGTCAACCTCACCGAAGTCTATCTTCTGCCGATGTGAACAATGTTCAAAAGAGGCCCTGAGATCCACCCGTTAGCGCTGGAGAGTAACGTCGCGTGACGTGAATTCGCTCCGGAGATGTCGGCACACAAGCGTGTTTACCAAAAGTCTTTCGCCCTGTGTATTCACTTCGGTAGTCGTGGGTGTTGCTTTTAAGAGCTTCCACATGGGGGCAGAACGAGCTGCACGCGTGAGGCAAGCTACAATAAGCTTCTCTACTGCATCTGCCATCCATGCACATGGTAAAACAACACAACCAAAGGAGATCATTTGTGGCGTACGCACCCAAGTCTCACGTGACTACCATCTCCGACCCACATGCCGGATGTTTAACAAGTACCTGATCGACGGCCGCGGCCCAATCAATGACCTCCGTGTCATCCGGCACTCCTAGCTGCACTCCTACGAGATTTGCCCAACTCCCTTGGTCGCTGGAGTTCTACAGCAGTATACGTTACCACGACGGACGGCCAGCGGTGAATCAGCGCACCAGCAGCAGCTTTTTTCACCCATGGTAGAAGCGAGCGGTGGTGTATTTATTCGACACACATTCAGGCCCCGTCGAACTTTACCTGTGACGTGGAATCGTCTCACGGACTGGAATGCTCCCGTACGATGGTGGCACCGTGCAAGACAGCCACACGTAATCTCTATCACAGAGGATCAAGGGCACAACATGCACGTCCGTGTATCGAGCAAGCTAGTACTATCGGCAAGAGCCGTGCAATCCTTCGCTAGACGCAGTGGATGCGCAGAGGAAATAATGGAAGAACCACATCATAGTTCCGAAAGCATTGAAACCTGAAACGTTCGTACCTCCTTACGAGGAAGGTAAACACGCAATGTCAACAAGGATACTCTCTTGATTTGTCAACACACATCCCTGCGCTGCCACCGCTACCTCGGATGCTTTCTTGTCTCCGTCACCCGACTTCTCCATGTTGCCGTCCGGTTGCTGGCTCGACGCCTTTACCTCCTCTTTCGGAACAACGGTAGCAGATCGGGGATCTTCGCTACTCGCTGTGCTGAGCTTGATTTGCTCGGGAGAAGAATCGACGTTGAGCGCTTGCGCTTCCGCCGCTCTTACCGCTGCCGTTGCCGCTTCCGCTGGTGGGTGATGTTGAATCAAAGGGTCGTCGCCCACGGATGCGCTTTGTTGTGGGGGCTCGACGGTTGCGCGGAGTTCTCCTTCCTTGTCTTGAGGTAAACTGAGCGCCGTGTCAAATTTCCCGGGATCGGGAGCCACTTGGCACGGAGTCACTGTTGATGTTCTCGCCCGGATCTGCTTAAAAAACGCGGATGTGCGGATATGCAATAAATGTTCGGGGCGCGCTCCGAGAACGACTCGCTCAGCCGTCCTGCAGCGCACAAGAAGGGATCTCATGGACATAAGCTACACACAAACGCGCGTGCACACACAGATACACGTGCCAGTTGGTTCAGCGGTACACGGACGAAAATGATGCGTACTTCATCGAGTATCCCTCTTCCATAGTCCAAGACCAAGTCTTGAACGAACCAACACACCCATGCCCATGAAAAAATTTAATCGCACGTGCAGCTCGTTCGTCGTCACTTATCATGGTTTCGTATTGCTGTTATGTACTGTGTGGTACAGCATCCGGGTGAAGTGCCGGCATGTGCGTGTGAAGAATCGGTTGTCACTCATATTCCACGTGTCAACAGGTGGAAGCACCTACGCATACGTAAGTGATGATTGAGGATATTGCTAATACCCTTTCAATCCGGCTAATTTCCAGCGTGCCGAAAAGAAAACCACTTCATTTCGTGCTAAGGCTCGTTGTTAACGCTCCGGAAAAGTCGTGCAATTTTCCACGGAACGGTGAAAAAAAAACCCGACATTTTTTCGCGTTTTTCTATTCGTGATGTCATCGCAAAAAGTACTTTCCCTTCCCTGAATACACGCTTTGCTCGGCACACAACAGGTTGACTTGGTGCTCACAATAGAGCAGCGGTAAAAACGCAATGAGCAGCACCCGACACGGAGGACAACACACTTAGAACCATCCCATCCACCCGGCATGCCGATTTCAGTTTTCAGCAACAACAGGCGCAGGGCAGATTGTCGCAACCTGGGTGTTGCTTGCGATTTTTTCAGTTTGCGAGCTCATTTTTCACGGTTGCGACTCCCACCTTTGACCACCAACTGCCCAAAGGTAGACAAGCTCAACAATCATAGGGCGGCAGCCGCGCTGACGGCCAGCATCATTTATGTATAGATGATCAATCAGAAAGAATTAGCGTGTCGGAGGCCCTGTTGCTCCTCTGCTGCGTGGTACCGTGGATTGATGTTGACGTGTCCGACCAAAAACAGATCATCTCGTCGCATTTTTTCCAACGGCAGTTTGGTGAGGTGGCACACATGTCTCACACACCTTACTGAGCAGCACCCAACCACCCAATACCCACGAAGCAGCACGGCGCCGGGAGATGGTATCATGTAGACAGCCGAACCGAAGGAATCAGCGCGTTGGAGGTCTTGGTGCTGCTGCTGTACTCGTTCTACTGTTTCCGTGTTTGCTATGTGTGTTTGAAAAAAAATCCCCAGCACCAACAGCAGCAATTGAAGCCGAGAGCACTACGCAATGTCTAGTTTTGGACCAAGAACGGATTGAACGCCGCTTCTGCCGCTTGTCCATCTCCATAACAGACCTGGATGTGAGTCTGGCAGGTCTTTCTAGCGTTCTCAGTGATGTTACAGCGCCCGCGGTGCGCTTGTCCGATGCTTTTGTCAAAAACGCGGATCCGTGAAAGTAGCAAGCCCCAAAAAATCCCGGCTCTTCTTTTCACGTTTTCGGGGACAAACGCCTCCATAAATGTTCGAGGAAAAACGAGTCCGCGAAATGTTCCGTGATTTTTTTGTCGTTGACAATACCCCTAAGGAAAACCAAAACTCCAAATCCAAGTTCCCCAAGACTCATAACACAGCGGTCATACCGCGTCCACATGAGCATCGACACGACCACGCGAACCATGTTAAGTTTCACCGTGGTAGAAAAATACGCGTGACGTTACAGAAGATGTCCCCAACAGCCCTCAGGGGGATGACGGTCATATATTCGAAGGTCCTGAAAACCAATGCATCCAAAATAGAAAAACGTTGACACGCTGTGCTTGAAAACGACAAACTTCCGAGCAGAACTCGTGGCAATAAGTCCTTTTCGCGGTAAAAGAAGAGACAAGCACCGCTCAAGGAAGGCGCAGAAAAAAATCCTGTGTGGCCTCCCTCCAGTGTGAATAGACCCTAGCTGGTGCGTCTAAACCAACGTACCCGCCGGCACATTCTTCCGAGGTGTGGTCCGCTCCTAGGTCCTTGTGATCCAGGGCACGTCTTCCGTCCTGGCCGTTACAAGTTGTGCATGAGTCAATGCGTGAATGGAGTCTCTGTTTATCCACTCTTGCTCGCCGCATTTTCACGAGCATGGAGGAACAGCGCTAATTTCACTATAATATTGCAATTCGACATGTATTTGTCGCAAAAAAGGCCGTGGGTACTGCAGCCCCGATTCGCACTTTTATCCCGCCGATTCCAATCCACACGAACATTTTTTCGAGATGCGGCCCGCTCAGGTCCTTTCTTTGTCCGGGGCACGGCTTCCCTCCTGGCTTCCCTTCTGGCCTTTCTGCCTTGTGCGTATGCCTGTGTGCAAACCGAGTCTCGGTCTATCCGTTCTTGCTTATTTCATCTCCTCATTCGACCAGACTTGATATTTCTAGCGCTGCAGCCAGCATAGAAGACTTGATACAATTTGTTTTCGTGTCAATATTTTTCCGGCCGCGTCTGATACACTGAGAGTTTTTCATGTGTTGATGTGATAACTGCTGTACTATCATGAAACAAATTGTGCTGTACGAGTCTCTCTTCGAGGCAATGCGTTAAATCCTTGGGCTCCAAGTCCACGTCATCCAGAACGTGTCTACTGACACAGATGTACAGTTAGCGCCTGCAATTCAGATTTTTTTTATGAAATATAGGCTCAGTTATCCACGAAAAATAAGAAAATAGGGTTCAGAAACATGGCGCACGCTGGGTCACACAATAAGAAATGTCTCAATAAGACACAGCGGCGACCGCTACCCTATTACATAAGAAACGAGGGGTTACGGGGAGAGTGTCGAATAAGAAACACCCCACAGCTCCTTCTATCTTTCGCTCTTTCCCCCCTCTCCCACTACCCCCCCCCNAGGCTGCGAACCACGATATGCTGTCTGCTGTACGGTTTTGATGGTGCTCTCCGCCAGCTCTCGTGAGCAGAGAAAATAAGAAACTGCCCATTGCAGAAATTCAGCAGGATTTGGCGGCACGAAAATAGGAAACTCGACATAAGAATTTCAACGACATACGCTGAGTTTATAGCCCACAATAATAATTCGAGGCTGGACCTGAAATAAGCGTTTCTTAATTGCGGGCCCTAACTGTACATTGATCACGATCTTCTGAGAGGGCCCGCGAAAACTGCCAAACACGGTATGATACAGTGAAAACGTTCAAAGCTCGATTGCTCCACAACCGCGAGGGCGCAAAACCCGGCTATTAGGCCGAAGGAAACCTTTGACGAGATCCTTCCCATCGTCCCGCCCTGTGTCGGTTGTGGTGCCCGCTCGGTTGTGGATGAATGGAGCGCCATGATAGCCCGTCTGTCTGGGGGAGTGCGACCACTCGCTCGATGACTACTGTTGAGAGTCCCAATACTGTATGGGCTTGTGATGCTGTTCAGAGTCCAAATATGGGCTTTGCGATACCTGGCAGTCGGCCTATCGAGCTCAACTGTTGCAAAACACCGGACGCGTGAGACCTGAGACATCTTCGTGCGATGTGGTAGAACTCACAACTGTGGGTACCTCGAACGGATAATCTTTCTGTGTGTGTATTTACTTTTCCAAATAAGTTCATCCTCTGGTTCAGTTGGTGAACGAAAATTACGAGAGTTATGCGAGTGGGCAGCTGGTCTGAGGTGACATTCGCAACAGGTAGATATCTAGGGACAAGCAAGCTCCTTCGAGCAAGACCCTGTAACACTCCACACACGCTCTGTGGAGAGGGCCCGTCGGACCCTTCTTTTCGTACCCAGATGATACTGCTTTTGGCCCTTTTGATCTACATTTGTTCCGTTTTGCTCTAAACTGGCAGGTACACAATTTTTGAGTGCCTTTCCCTCCATTTTCTGCGGGAATAACAGGGCTTCTTCACTGGCACATCGTGCAATCAATGTTGTAGACAACAGCGGGAAGAAATAAATACAGCGGGCGGTAGAGAGGCATGGGGGCAAAGAGTAAAGCGGGGGGAAAAGGAGGTCATGGCCTCACAACCACAGCAGCGGTATCCATATGTCGCAGTTGTCCATACTCTCAAGAGTGCAGAGTGCAGCACACTGATCCCCCTTGGCCGAGCACACGCCGCAAGCATTTACTTTCATTTTGGATATAGAGTTACTTGTTCACATATTTCTGAATCTCCCGACGCACGACAGCAGGCCAGGACCTCGTTCGATGGTCCGCCAAGACATTGTTTGCTCGCGGTTTTTCTCTGCGCACCGCAAGCATCTGCATCTAGACTGTACACTCGAATGCCCTGTGCGAGAATCGCTCGCTGCGATCCAGCTCGGCAATCACCCGTTTAGACTTTCCCACATTATCGTTCGAGGGGGAGATATGTCATGTTTTCGGCCGTGTGCGTGCCGACACGGATTTATATGCGGTGGCAACCGCAGTGTAGTATGTCGTCTGCAGTCATCCGCACGGCAAGGTTTCCTCAAGAAAGATCCCTTCCTTTGAATCCATTACAGTAGAGGTCCCTGCTTAGTGCCGGGGTGTGCGCAAAAATTTCACCAGCACTATACCGGGCACCGGCACTATTCTTCAGAGTGCCTGAATGGTACCAAAGGGGCACCATTCAGGGTCCGAAAATCCCTCAATAGTGCCAGACCGGCACTATTGACGAACTGTGTAATTTCAGAGTGCAGCGCTTTGCTTTGCGGGGCCAACAGAGTACCACATGAAACGTACATGGTGAGATCATGGCATGGGCGTCGCGGGCAGACTGCTGTGCCACGATAGGGGTAGTTCCTGCCCTGTTGAACACACATATTTTGCTGAATAAGTTAACTGGACGGGACACACGTACTGCACCTTGTTGCTGTACCCACCTCAGCGCACGTCCTGCACACTTGCACAACCTGAGTTAAACCCTTCACATGAATATCGCAAAGGATGCACCTCATAGACTGGATGTCCAATATTTTGTTGGCAAGAATGCCGTGGCACTGGCCTTGAACGGATCAAACCATTTCGCGCAACCTCAACATACTCCTCGACAGCGAAAGCAAACCCCTGATCATGAAGCCCATGGATTTTTGGCGGTAACACTTTTGCGAAGCTCCTGCTGGCACAATCAATTGGTGAAGGAGGAAGCTAAATCTGCCTCCTCCTCACCCTCCTTCGATGTAGCCAGAACAAGAAAAAAAAAAACACGACNACTCCTCGACAGCGAAAGCAAACCCCTGATCATGAAGCCCATGGATTTTTGGCGGTAACACTTTTGCGAAGCTCCTGCTGGCACAATCAATTGGTGAAGGAGGAAGCTAAATCTGCCTCCTCCTCACCCTCCTTCGATGTAGCCAGAACAAGAAAAAAAAAAACACGACCGGAAGAACGGGACATGCAAGAAATCAAACAACCGCTGTAGCTGTAACCCCCGCCCTCACCAAATAGAGCTGTTTGGGTCTGCAGCAGCACGTGTACCCTCTCCTCTATGTCTGTCTTCTGTGTTGTGTGTGTCTCTTGTGTGTTGTGTGTGCATGCGTGCTTGAACCGGCACTATTGTGGGGTTCAGTGGGGCCCAAACCGGCACTATAGTGGGCAGTCCTGAATAGTGCCGGTCTGTCACTATTCAGGGCGGGTTCTGTGCGCGAGATTTGACCGGCACTACCGAGACTATACCGGCAACCGGCACTTTTCAACCGGCACTAAACAGGGACCTCTACTGTAACATACCCAGTAGCCACCGGTTCCGACTTCTACATGCAGTCTGGACTGCTGGAACCAAGTGGTGTCGTGCAGTCAAATTACGGTGTTCGCACGCTCCGACGCCATCAACCAGCTCGCAACACTGAGACACCTACAGCTGCTGTTCCCCCGCAGCGAGCCTTGGAAGAAACGGAGAAACGAATGGGGCCAAACGAAAACACACTTCCCTCACTTCGCACAGACCATCGTCTTCATGATCTTCACCATGCTCATGTGAAAAACGTCTCACCCCTTCCATTCCTGAGTTTGTCAATGAATAACACAATGCCTTAGGATTCGTGGCGGTGAAGCCGCCGACCGCTTGAAGTACGTGTGCAAACGGCCCCAATATCCATCGGTCTCTTAGGTGCTGTACACATGACATAAGAAATCTAAAACATGACACTTCTGTACAACGAAGGTAGGAACACACACCTTGGTCCCGGCAGGGCCCGAGCCCTTGTCGCTACTGGAGCAGCCCCCGATGGTTACCACTAGTCTCCCCAGTCGCGCTCAAGAGTAATGGGCGTTGGTTGGTTGCACCGAGAGGGTTGGGCGTGTGTGTGTGTGTCGTGTGCTCGATCGAGCAGGCCAAAGGTTGCGCGATGCAGCGGTGTTGCACGCACCACCACCGCGCTGATGCCAACGGGTCCGCTCTTGTGGCCTTCTGTGGGATCACCTCGGCCAAGGTGTCTCTGTCCGGGACAACGCGCGTCTTTTGTACAGTTTCGGAACGTCAGAAGCAAAGAGCCGTTTCAAATGAGTGAGATCCGGAGTGGTGTCTGGGCTCGGCAATAGTAGGAGAAACAATAGTATATGACTGTAAAAAAAATAAAAAATAAGTCTTAGTTGGGGCTCGAGGCACGAGGGGTCTCGCAGATGCATTCTGCACATATCTGTAACTAAGTGTACACCATCGCAGCTGTGAGCCCCCTGCAACGTCGGGAATCGTGGTGGGGCGGTGGGGTTCCTGCTGCCTGCCTAACACCACGTGCCGGCGGTATCACTTTCTCTGCCATATCGCAAAGGCGGCGAGTGCGCACACAACATGCCTAATTCGGTAGACGGAGATGGAACTTTGGGGGCGAACGAGACTGCATCTGAGGTCGACAATGGAATCAGTGCAATGCTGGCTCTTAGCGAGCAGGTGATACAACAGCGGTACTACTGGTGGTGCGGTGTGTCGTTTCTCTAGGGAGCAGAAGCTGACAGACAATTTCAGATAGTTCAAGAAGCTGAATACGCCAGTATCTAGGTGTTTGTTTCTAGTCACTCCTGTTGGTTTCACGATTAGTCACGATTCCTGCTTGTGGGAGGGGTGACCTGCTGTTTTCCACCAACAGGCTGGATCCTCCCCCTAATTGGCCGCGGCTGCGGTTGTTTGAATATCATGCAGCTAGTAGTGTACGCACACACACACACCGCCCGCATACCCGCTTGTGCTGCCCGCTCATGGTGTGTGGAACCCTATTTGTGAGAGTACGTGAGCGACGAATGGCGTGGTGGACCCGTTGCGATCGCTTGGTTTTGTCTGCTAACGCGGCACAAATGATTCTGTATCTGTATCCATGCGAGCCGTATGCTGTGAGGGCTATGCACACGGCTGTGCGTTTCTATCTACTTGTTCACGTATCTACGTACGATAACTTACGACGACAACGAGAGATACGAGGATAGGGGGGGGGCAGGAGGGAGCGGAAAGGTGCGCAACAATTGGAGTTGTGACACTGGTGGTGATTTATCGCGCAGCAACTGGTTGATTTATTACCGTGTGGATCCAAACACTCTCCAGAGGGCATTCCTCTAAAACCTTGCCTCATCCTCGGCAACACGCCGAGAGGGGGAGAGCGGAGAAAAATGTCGTGCGGATGTACAGAGCATTGAAAAGACGAGAGGGGAGCGTCGGGGGCGCATTCTGTCCATTACTTCAGTTCCCATCCGCGTCGATCGATGTATGCACACCTGTACAATGTAGTCTCCGCGATGTGCGTGTATTTTGGCTCTCTGGGACGCACTATTAATAATAGTATTAGGCGGGTTCCCTTGTATGGCGGGTGGCTGGTCTTCTGCTGTAGGGTCGGTGAAATCTCTTGGCACAGGTATTATAGTAATCAAGTTGGTTTGTGCTGTGCAGAATTATCACCTTGTTTTATGCTGTGAATAGAGCCAAGTATGTCAACCGAGCGGATGCCGAGATCGAGGGACGCCTGGCTGCAGCAGACGTGCCATGATATCGATCTGCACGAATATTTCTCTCCCTCTGCTGTTGTCCCTCTGAATGCTTATCTCAGGGTTCGGAGTTCGGCGGCGACGGCTTTACAGACTACCAAGACAGTGTTGTGTCTGAGAGAAAAAAGGTACGGTCTCTGCTTCGAACGCGCTCACATCAAACCTCGCGCGACACCACTCTTTACTTGCATCGACGATACTCTTGGTGAGAAGAAACACCTTTATAGGGTTTTGCCACATTCCCTCTTACTGCTTTCCACCCTTTCGCCCTGGGCTCAACCACGCTTTAACTTCCGCAATTTTTGGCTTGGCAATAGTCCTGAGAGTGTCGATGCGCACAACAAACCTGTACTGCTGTACCACTTCTGTTTGCGTTGAACATCTCAAATTTTGCCAGAATGGCGGCTACCAGTTTTCCGAGAGCGCGAGTGTGGTGAGCCACGCCCCCTCGATGGAACTCGATTCCGCTTCGGCATATCAGAGCTACGGCCAAGAAGAGGGGGATACCGGAGGCGTGACGACGGGGTTTGAGGGCCTAAGGTGACGCGAGGACGGAACGAGCCGTTTCGGGGTGTCCAGTGTTATTTGTAGCATCAAGTGCACTCAGGTTGCCCGCTTCACACAGCATGTCATGGGATTTTCGCGTGTGGTTTGGCGCCGACAGATTATGGAGGGTACGGTAGCTCGAAGAGAGTCCCACATGGCCCCCCTTGCCGCCACAAGTTGTTAGGCATGCATACCGGTGTCCACCCCGTTCGATGCCACGGTGGCGGGTAGGCGCTTGGCCAGCGAGCTGTGTCTAGAAACCCCTTTCGTGGCGTTCAGCAGGTTGCGCCGGAAATGGGACCTGGCGCCAACCGTTTTTTGGATGTTACGACTGACAGGTTGGGAGATGAGCCAAGGGGAGGAGGAGAGGGTGCGATGAGCATGTTGGAAGGGGAAGAAGGCGAAAGGGCTGATGACGACTACGCCAAAGGTCAGTCAGTCTCGGGGGAAACATGAAGGAGTAGTATATTGCGCATGGGAACTGAACGTTTTTAGCAGCATAAGTATTGGTCATCCGTCAGTCCTCGTCCGGTTTTTCGTAGAGGATGTGTAGTAGAACAAGACGGCTGGCACTCATGAGTCAGGGTCCTTTTCGTTACCTAACCAAGGCGTGGTATGCATCGATGTGAAGACCCGTGCCGGCAACATTTGTGCATGTGTGTCTGTCTGGAGGCAATCGGAAAAATTTAGTCTTGTCAACGCGGCAGCCCATCGGAGTTCCCAGCAAGATGTTTGGTATTTCGGCGACCTTAGTGCACTATCGCGACTACAACGCACTGCCGTGGGGTATGAAGGTACCTCTGAGTAGCTGTGGTCCAGATAGGTTGGTCCCGCTCAAGCAAGTAAGGGACAGTAGAGTGTGTGGTATTCGGGGTGGGAAAACAAGCCCTGGAGAGGTTAAGAGAAGGGCCGAATGTTCGTTTTCTTTGAAAATGAGGGTATTGAAATGCCCACACCATCCCCGGGAAAGCGGTCGGCATATTAGGCAACGCTGCCACCACCCCTAGTCTTGTGTTAGCGGCTGAAACGCGAAGACGCGACACACGCGCGTACGACAGCAGTGAACCAGTTTTTTGCCAGGTGTCTGTGCTGGCTACGAGGGTCGCGCGACACAGTGCTGCTCGGTAGCCACTTGCTGGCCGCGGACGCTGATATTGCCCTACAGTACTTGTATTGTTTGGTCTAGGGTGACGAGGCGTTCCCTTTTGTGGCCATTGTATTGCGTCCACGTTGTGCTTTCAAAATGCGCGAGCAAAGAAACACGGGCTACTACATTGTAGACGTATTCAGTCGCGCATTCTCGACAAGCGAAGGGTTCCACCATGTCTGTGGCCCCAACAGTTTACTTTCAGCCTCGAGGTTATATGTCCTGTGGTGGAGGTACCTCGACATGTACCGTACATGGAAGGCTGTTAAGGCTGATTCGCACTGAAGAGTATCCAACCAGAACCTCTCCTAAAGTTGTTTTCAACGCGCATCACCTGTCAGGCCAGCATGTGTGTGCGTGTGGTTCGCATGGTAAGTGTTTTTTGCCCGCCACCTTGACAGATGTGGAGGCTCTAGAGTGGGCGTGCCGTTTTTGTGGCATTCACGATCCGGCGTGCGTCGTGCGTTGCGTGGAGTCGGGCAAATGGTTCTGCAACTCTTGCGGCAATGCATCTGGCAGCCACATTATCCAGCACCTCGTACGCTCGAGAAACAATCAGGTTTGTACCTGGGTTGCGTGCGACCTGATTCTGGAAATGCCGCTAGCTAGTGGAAGACGGCGGTACATACCGCTAGCACACGAGGACGCATCACTGCGTCAACGATCCGATATGTACTTGCTCTACAATTGCCATGCCCTGGATCGTAAATACTCCGTTGCGTCAACGTGTTACCGAGTTCCGAGCATCATTAGAAACCCAACGCTACTGGTTTTGCCATGTTGCGGCTCTACCGACAGAACTTCACGTGTACGTCGCGCCAATATTTATTGTAGGTCTTGATAGGCTTCGTAATTGGCCCATCATTATTCGCCTAATAGGCTCTACTCTATTGTTTGATGCAGCCTCTGCCCCTTAATAGAGGACTTTCATTTAATCTCTGGCGTGGCGCTAACTTAAAACCTGGAGAACATCATACAAAGACCCGTGCTCACGACCTCGACCTTTCCCTTTCTGGCCCTGGAACGCACAGGTGTGCTTGCACCCCGACTCTCCCCTGGGCGAGACAATTCTGGAGTGCTACAATTGCGGGTCGCGCAATTTGTTTCTGATGGGTTTCGTGCCCGCCAAGGCGGATTCAGTGGTGGTTTTGCTGTGCCGCGTTTGCGTGGAGGGAGCTCCAGGCCTCAAGGTACGGACGACCTTGAGGGTAGATGAGGCTACAATGGTCATTTCGTGTGTTCGTTCACTCTCGTTTACTTGCGCGAGTTGCCGTCCGTTGTCCAGTTTTTTTTCTTGTTTTCCCGCACAGCAGTGCAGCAGCGCCCTCGTGAATTATCGTGCGTGTTTGATGTGAGACGAGGAACAGCAGTCACGATTTTTTTTGCCGGAATTATCACCGTTTTTTTCTTCAACCGTATCTCACCCACACACTCAAACAACTGCTGGGCGTTTTGTTACTTGGCCGGTTGGATGGTGTCATGGTGTCGCAGGACATGGGGTGGGACCTTTCGGAGTGGCTGCCTCTGGTGCAAGACAGACGTTTTTTGCCGTGGCTCGTCAAGGTGCCTTCGGAACAGCAGCAGGTAAAGTCGCACCCTTGTGTCCACCTCGTTTTCTTGCCGCCGATACCTGCTGTTGCTAATGTTGGTGGGAAGCACACGTGGCGGGTGGAGGGTACAGCTTACTGTATGTCTCATGGGAGGTGATGATTGCACCGGCGGTGACGCGCGTATCGTACTTGCGACCTGCTCGATAGGGTTTGCTGACCCGGTCTGCTCTTAGTATCCCTCTATGGACCTACCTCTCGCTCATGGACCATTCGATTTCTGTTTTCCTGTGCTACCGCTCATGCCCCCCGGTGACAGTCCCGGGCGAGGCACATTTCTTCGGCACAGATCGCCAAGTTAGAGGAGTTGTGGAACAAGGAGCCAGAGGCCACGCTAGAGGACCTGGAAAAGCCGGGAATAGACGACGAGGCTCAGGTACCAACACGTGTCCTGACTGATTGACAACAACTTCTTCCATGTCCACGTTGGCATCATGCTTGTGTAGTACCCGCGCTGCGCGTACATTGCTCCGGCTTCCCTCTGCCCCGCCTTTCAGGCAGTCCAAGTTTCCGGTGTTGTTACCCTTCGAATAGGGTGGCAGTCGGGTTGTTCAGACGCTGAGCGAAATCTATTGGGGACACTTTTGTTTGCATGTGTTTTTGTGGGAGATTTGGGTATCTGCATGCGGGTTACACGAAGTTGGGGCCCGGTGGGTGAATACACGAGGCATAGACAGGATCCGCTGTAGTTGTTGTAATGAAGGACCGGCCCCGTATAGTGAGGGTTTGGAGCCTTCTGATACCACTGTGGTGCGGGCCACAAACACCCCACCAGTGAATACATCGTAAGCGCTCTCACAAACCAAAGCCACAGAGCCACACACAGCCTGTGTGAGGATTGTTCTCTCACATAGCCTTGGGGGGGGCTTGGTTCTTGTCCTCTTGCTGTACAAGTACCGCTACCCAGTGCCCAGTTCTGTGTGTACATGGTACGACGACGGTATGCAGAATGTGCTTTCTATTAATTTTCTTGCCTATCCCCCTCCCCTTGTTTTATGCCACCCCGAGGTTCCAACTTCCAATGTGTAATGAAAAAAAATCCGGCTAATGGGTATGCGGGTTTAGAGATCCCCCAGATCCCGCTGCCCCTTAGTGGCAGCTCCGGGGACTTACTTCATGTGTTCCGTCATGTAGAATAATATTATGGTTTGTTTGCACTACACTTTTGAGCACACACCTCTTTCTGCACTACACCGGGAGGAATGCGGGCTTTGTGAGCCCATCGCTTTTCACGCTCCCCTTTCTCCAACCCCTCTGTAAGGAATCGAAGATATACCGTAGGGTGGGGACCGCACTTTAAGGTCATCTCGAAACCCAAATAGTACCATATGTACCTTCCACACCATTCAGTTGAACCATATAGCGTGGAGGCTGATGAATCGGCCGGGCTCATTCCCGCCCTATTGCGGGCCCCCAACAGGTGTATCCCATGTCGCTGCGTTTGCATTCGTTTGTTGATCCAGCCGGTGCTGCTGAAGTACGAGGATGGCTACCACTACCAGAACATCATGGCCCCCCTGGTGAAGCTCGAGGCTGACTACGACAAGAGCTCGAAAGATAGCCAGGGTCAAGACGGTCTGAGCGTGCGATGGGACCAAGGGCTCAACAAGAAGCACATCGCGCTGTTCCGGTACGTATTGTGTACCATGTACCTCCTCCCCAATCCCCGCCGTGCTGTTCCGTTTTTCGTCCCCTGTCGTTTGTCTTAAGACTTCGTGGAAGTGCATGTGTTGCCGTGACGTCGACAGCGAGCATGCACATTCGTTGATTTATACCACATGTATGCCTGATTCGATCTTTAACGTTCGTGCGTGCTCCATCTCCACGGCTTTGATAGTCTGGCGCAGAGCGAGGAGCACATGGCTAGGATGACGGCGGGTGACGAGCTGAAGCTTTCGCTAGACCCGGTGGGGCAGCGAGCGTATGGGAAGCCCTGGGAGGGTTTGGGGCATGTCCTGCGAATAGCTGACAGCGAGGTGGCGCTGATGATGCTCGGGGGCATGGTGCCAACCGAAATCACCGACGGGTACCAGGTGACGACTTGTAATGCTGATATTTGGGCATGTGCGCGCAGCACGCTAACGCGATTGCTGTGGAAGAGGAAGAGTACTATGATACACCCCACATGATGTTCTTGGTCAAGCGTCTTCCACCCGCTTCTGCTTCTTCCCCCGTGACGAAACGGCGTTCCTTCTTTCCTGCTCTGGTTGTGGCGCTCGCTTTCGACTACTGCTCTGCTGCTTTTGCCGCTGGAAATCTGGTGCACCATGATGCGTGGCAGGTGGACTTCGTGTGGAAGGCAGTGTCGTATGACCGAATGCAAGTGGCCCTCAAGACCTTTGCGGTGGACGACACGTCGGTATCGGGCTACATCTACCACAGGTATGCACAGCACAGAACAGGTGTTCTTGGACCGCTTGCTGTGTAAGGACCGTTGTTGTCGCAGGCCACCGCAACGCCGGAAACGTCGGGACATGGTTGCCGTCCGCGTTTCAGCTGCAGGCTGGCGTAGTGGAGCAGCGGATTAAACCAAAGCCCTTGTGGTGGCGGTCGTCGGATACTCTCTTGCTCCTCCAAGCTGGACCTGCTCTGCTGAGCCGAATGAATGCCTTTGGCGAGGTCTGAGTTGCCTGATGTTAGTTACCTGATGCGGCAGCTTTTGTTTTTTGCCACCGTTATGTTTGCTGGCCTGGCACGTTGGAAACTTGCCATGGAATTGTGCATATATTTATGCACTTACACTTACCAAGATGAGGAGAATGACGATGTGAACGCCTTGCTGCTTACACTTCGATTGAAGGGAGTCAAACACGCGATTGCCCATGGTACGGACGTACACGACTAAACCACTTTCCCTTCCCCACGCCACCCGCCTCCGCTACCCATCTCGCAAACTTGAAAGATTGCTTGGTCACGAAGTAGAGCCTCAAGTGCTGCGGGTCACGCTCCCCCCCCGCTTCTCCGCGCCGGGGTTGCCGGAGCTCAATCACTCGCAGTTCACCGCCGTGAAGGCGGTGTTGCAGCGGCCGCTGTCTCTGATCCAAGGGCCTCCCGGCACAGGCAAGACGGTGACATCGGCGACTCTGGTGTACCATCTAGCTCGCCAGGGAATGGGACAGGTGTGTTTGATTTACCGGAAGAGGGAGGAGGTCGAGGATGGCGATTGCGCACGACGGCACGTGTGGGGGGGTGGCTTTGTGTACTTTCTGCCTCGGCGCTCTTGGGGGGTTGTGCGTGGTCTTGTGTTGAGGATTTTGTCGTTGTGCGGTGCCCAGTGCTATGAGAGTGCTATGAGATTGCTGTGCGCCGTTCTCGTACCCGTGGATTTCGCCAAGGTGCTGTTGCACTCTCCAGATTTTGAGGGCAACCCCGACTACGAGCCTCGTGTGAGAGGCTCGGCTTCAGACCTCAGGAAAATCTTGTATTATTTTCTGGTATGTGTGTCACGTGGGTACGGCACTTCCCGCGCAGGTGCTCGTCTGTGCACCTTCCAACGTCGCAGTGGACCACCTGACAGCCAAGATCAGCGCTACTGGCCTCAGGGTGGTGCGCCTATGTGCGAAGAGCCGGGAAGCGGTGGTGAGCCAGGGACTGCTTTTGGTTATTTGGTGTCGGTTGATTGTATGCATGTATACGCGGAAGCGGTTCTTTGTGACTGTTCTGTGAATGACGGGTCCTCCCGGACGACACGGTTTTCATCATGGTGTGCCATATTGATCTGTCATCACGGTTATGTAGTGAGGGCTGTTTCTTACTTGCCAAGTCCAGCAGCCCGGGGTTGGCTTATCCTTCACACACACGTTGGACCGCACGGATGGACGCGCCTAGTGAGCGGGTCTTGTGTTCACAGCGACTGAAGCGCCATACGAACAGACGAGGTATCGATATCTTATGTTGTAGGAATACAGAGATGTTGAGGGGACTCCTCTTTTGTGGCAACAGTGGTCGGTGGTGCAATTTACATCACATCCGTCTTATTTCCAAGGGCACCACCAGTGCCAGAAAAGCTGCTTCATAGGAGTATCCCCGATGTTGATGCAGTTGTCTACCCGTCGTTCGTTTTTTCCATCACGCAGTCTACGGACGTGGACCATCTGTCTTTGCACGTGATGGTCAGAGCGCTGGACACGCCAGACAAGCAGGACCTGCGCAAGCTGCAGCTGCTCAAGGACGAGCTGGTGAGAAGGAGAAGATCTCCAGGACAAGTGGCCCTTGCAGAACGTGACATGCATGTCTCTGGATACTTCGCTAGCTAGTACTCACCCCACGAATCCCTTCGCATGGGGAATCTAGTCACGGCACAATTTGTCACTAGGTTTCGACAATCGGACTTATTCTCACCTTTTGAGACGGGGGCTGCGAAATGTTGTGGTTGTGGTTCCAAAGTCCTGAAAAGGTCAAGGGCATTTATCTTTCGGCAACTCGGGCTCCGTGAGGCTCGGCCTCGAATGCGCACCCACTCCCCTCCCCCCCTCGCCAATTGGAACGGTGAACCAATCTCTTGTGATAGGGTGAGCTAGTGGCGGCGGATGAGAAGCGTTTCCGGCGACTTCGGTCCAGCGCGGAACGAGAGATCTTGCAGGCGGCTGATGTCATTTGCACTACCTGTGTGGGAGCTGGTGACCCTCGCCTTAGCAACGTCAACCTGCGCTTCCGACAGGCAAGCAGCATGCCGTTGCTGATACACCTTGCTGATACCGTGTGCGGGACACGTCCAAAAGCGTGTCTCAACAAGTACGAGCAGGTGTCTAGCTTCACAAACGTCGAGTGGGACGCGGTAGATGAGGCTTTATTGAACACCTCATGCAGTGTTGGAAGTGTTTAAGAAGAGTATCACGTCCAGGATCTTGTGTTATACATGAGAAAAACGGTTCTCTTGGATAGTTTTCTTTACGCGCTCGAAAATAATTGTTCGTTTGCCATGCGCTGACGTTTTTCTGTCATGCAGGTGTTGATCGACGAGGCAACTCAAGCCATGGAAGCCGAGTGCCTCATTCCGATAGTCATGGGCGCCAAGCAGCTGGTGCTGGTGGGAGACCACTGTCAACTAGGGCCGGTAAGAACAACCCAATACCCCCACCGCTGCTGGGGTGTTGTTGATGTCCAACAAGATATTTACCAGGGGCCGACTTGAGCTCGTGGGATTTTAGGATTTCAACAGCAATCAACAGCAAGGCATGTTTATGGTGCCTGGCCTTGAGTTGGTCGTGGCTGTAGGACAGCATTGAAGTTCTCCACTCGCCGGCGCGACGCACGCTTCTGTAAGCGTGCATGGCACACATTATCCAGCGTTGTCGGGACATGCGAGTGTCTTCGTTGTACATGCCGGGGCGACGATGGCATTTTTTCCGACATCCCTTCAGCAGTTGTCACAGCATTTCTGCCGGATATGAGGCATTCTAGCTCCAATTCGTGGTCACATCACGCAGAAGGCTCCGTTCCCTTAGACCCCCTACAGTACCACCCCTCCTGCCATCGGGACTATCTTGACTCTCTGAAGCTGTTGTTGCGGTGGTGTTGTTTCAGGTGGTGCTGTGCAAGAAGTCGTCGAAGGCGGGGCTAACGCAGTCTCTGTTCGAGAGGCTCGTGCTGCTCGGGATACGACCCGTCCGTCTTCAGGTAAAAAGCTTGTGTCTTGGCTTGGCACAGCACGTTGGTGGTCTACCGGGTACAACGGTAGTAACGGTCTTTTTGAACAGGTACACTGCTTTGCGATTGCGCGCCGAGCAATCACGTCCGGATATCGTATCGCATGTCCAGCAGCAGCGTTTTGGCGCGAAGAGCTGCGATCGGTTAGCTCCTCCGAGCTTTGTGTATTTCTCTCATTTGTGATTGATTTTCTCTGTTTAGAAGTACCGAACCCTGTGGCACATTTTCTCTGGTGGGTACCGATACAGTTGCTGTACGGCGGTGCTCTGGCGTTGGTATCCTGCGATGGCGCTTTCAGGTTCAGTACCGGATGCACCCTTGTCTGTCGGAGTGGCCGTCCAACATGTTCTACGAGGGAACACTTCAGAATGGCGTCACCGAGGGAGAGCGAGTGATGGACCAGGTCAGTCAGTCAGTCACGCCCGATGGAACCTCGGCGCCATGCTGCTGCCAACGCCGTGCTCGTCAACCTGTGGTCCCAACTTCATTGAGTTTTTTTCCAGGACAAACGTCAGGGATGCAGAGATCGGAATATTTCGCCCTCGTTTCATGTTCTGTTTGGACGTGCATTGATCTGGTCCGGGTGTCTTTCCAAGACTTGCTCGCTGCTATGCTTGAACCAAGGCCTCGGAAAGAATCGACATCCATCCTCTTGCTACTATCCGCACGCTCACTTGCTCATATGCTTGAACGCATTCATCAGGTAGACTTCCCGTGGCCGGTGCCCTCCAAGCCCATGTTTTTCCTCATGACCACGGGAGTCGAGGAGATCTCGTCGAGCGGGACATCCTACCTCAACCGCACAGAGGCCACGGCGGTAGAAAAATGTGTCACGAGGTTCTTGCAGAAGGGCGTCACGCCAGACCAGATCGGGGTGAGCTCGCACTCATAAAAGTACCGCTTGAGTACTCAACTGTTTTCCACTTGTTGCGGAGAAACTCCAAAAGGTGAATCGAAAGAGCATGTTGCTTTGCGAGCCAGAAGTTTCGAGTCCTGAAGGTCTGGAGTTTGTCTTACGTGAACTGCATGTGTGTCCAGGTATAACTGACCGACTTCTGTCGCCCGACAGCTGTAGCCCCTTTTTGAGAGACCGACCCGGGTCGTTAGTTGGCGAGTCAGAAACACGTATTGTTATTCATGATGTCTCGAGCCTCATTCCGTTGTTTGCTTGCTCGATCTCGGTTGTGTTGTATCGTGTTGTCTTATCTTGTGCTGTCTCATCTTGTGTTGTCAGGTGGTGACCCCCTACGAGGGTCAGCGATCGTACCTCGTCGACCACCTTCAAAGAACGGGCTCGCTGCGATCATCGCTTTACTCGGAGATCGAGGTGGCCAGCGTGGATTCCTTCCAGGGCAGGGAGAAGGACCTTATCTTGCTCACCTGCGTGAGGTGAGGTGATTTGTTGCTGGCAGCTGCTGTTTGGCGGGTCGCCGGTCGGCTTTGCTCCCATCACGTCCCCTTCAAGCGTTACGGAGGGGTGTGGAAGGCTTTTGTGACAGATTTGTAGTCTCTGTCTTTCGCGTAATCCCAGCCGGTGATGGTTAACCCCTTCTCATTCACCGTTGGCTGCGCTCGACTCACACGGCGACGCAAAAAACCTGGTCGTTTGGGGGGATTGTGATCGAGAACTGAACCAGTACACCCGAAAGCTGAAGCGCGTAGAGCCACAAGCGCAGCAGCGCAGGCTCGCGTCATTCCCGCAGTCTATCCCGACCTCGCGTTGTTTTTTTGCCAAAGGCGGCCGCCCCCTGATGATGTTTTTCGAATGAAACAAACCACAGGTCAAACGAGCACCAGGGTATCGGGTTCCTTTCTGATCCCCGGCGCCTTAACGTAGCCCTCACGCGTGCTCGCTTCGGGTGCATCATCATCGGGAACCCTCGCATACTGGCAAAGAACCCTCTCTGGAATGCTCTCGTGAACTTCTACAAGGTGAATTACTGGTGTCGAAGCAGAGGCAGGCGCGGTTATGGTCTTGTGGCCCGTAATAACCATAAGCACCATCTGCAAGCTCAGAAAGTGGGATATGTTTTCCGAGGCCCCCGCTGTCTCAGACCAACCAGTGGACCAGCTATCAGAGATACTGACCGCATTGCCTTTCGTTCGTAATCCTTCGTAGTGCCATCATGCTGTATGCCTCAACCTGTTGCTGGTTTGACTCATGCAGAGCAACACTCGAAGGTTTCATCCAATCCATTCGCCAGAACTCGCGGCAAGCAATCACGTCTATGAAGCGAAACAACCAAACCAACAGATCTGATGCACCTGCGCGCCTGCTTTCACTCGACATGAATCTCTGTGCATGTCCGTGCGTGCAGGACCACGAGTGCCTCGTGGAAGGCCCCTTGGACAACATGCAGCCGTCGCTCATGTCCTTTCCGCCCCCGCTCAACAGGCGCAACGATCAGCGCAGGCTCTACTTCACGGCGCTCGCGCAGGGCACACACGCCGCTGCGAACTCACAGGTACACGGAAAACACTTTCGAAGCGTGGCAGGCTGACACACGTGCACCTCCACTTTGCTGCTGCCTTTACGCCTAGGACAAGCAACAAGCAGTACCAGTTTTGTATGGTACGATCGCTTGTTGCCGTAAGCCTCGAACAAGTTGCAGGGGTGACGCGAATTCGTTGCAGAACTGTCCGATGTTCAATGTGAATGTCTTCTGTCAGACCCACCACCCTTGCCCTTTTTTCTTCACTCAAGTAGAATCGCGATCGCTCATCTTCACAGCCCGTGCCCTCGTTACATTGAACCTCGGTTCTGGTTGACTCCGTGTAGTCATGGGACGACAGGGACCGTTCGTCGAGGAAGGCCGACGCCGATCGCGAGCCCATGGACTCTCGCTACGACCCGCGCTATTCCATCCGCCCTGACGTAAGTTGCCGTCCCGTGGGCCAGTGGTCTGTATAGTTTCTGTTGCAAGCAGCCGTGCTGTGTTGTGACGTGCTCGTTTATGGCGCACCAGGAGTGTCGGTGAATGTTGTGGTGGTGGAAGAGAAAACCTGGTGATTCTTGGATTTGTCTCCACTTGCTTGGATTTTGTGGCCTCCTCTAGGTTCCTAAAGGTCAAGCCGAGCGCAAGAACATGAGGCGTGATTGGCGATCACTTCCATTCGTGATGTCGTTGGCCCCCTCGCACCACTGTGAACCGTTTTCTCATCAGGGTGCGGATTACGGCTACGGAAGCTATTCGGACGCACCCCAAGCAAACGGCGGACAAAGAGGGGGAGGAGGTGACTTTGGAGGAGCCTGGGGATCGGCGCCGTCTCACGAATATGGGTGAGCTTAAGCTGTGCGCGTGCTACGTTGAGCACGTGTCGAAGACAGTTTCTTGTGTTCGACGTGACGCTGAACATTCACTTACACGCTTGGTTCAGTGTTACGTGGAAGCGTACTCGAGTCTACAACCGGCGTCTCATCGCTCGTATCGCCATCCGAATACACAAGCTTCGCTACTGTAGTATTCTGCCGTTTGATGTGTCATGTCCAGCTGTACAAGGTCGTTTCATTTCTCACGCCTCGATCCCCCTGATACATGTTGCCTTACGATCGCAGCTACGGCCAGTTTGGACCCGGTCCTATTGACACGGGCGCACCGCAAGGCCCCCCCAGTGTTTCAGGGTCGTATGTTTCTGCCAGCCAAGCTTCTACCTCGTTGGGCCAGAACAGGTGCGTACCTGCGAACGAAGGCGTATTTTAGGTGCAGTGCGTTCAGAAGTCGGTCCCGTTCTTTCGCCCAGCTGTTGGTGTGACAGTGTGACCGCTGTTGAGTTTCTCGGCACCGTGGGTATGGTCTCTTTTTGTGGTTAGTTGTGAAGATTTCAAACATACGCAGAAGACCTTGTCTTCCAACCGCGCTCGATGTGCGCATCGGCCACTGATATGCTACCGCTCACGGTTTCCTCTCAAATGTCCTACTGCAGGTGGGGGGGAGGCCTGGGCGGCCGTGACGACCCGAGGGGGTGAGCTAGTTGGCGAGATGTCTTCCCGAAACTGGAATATTAGGCGACCATGTCATCGTTCAGATTCTTGGAGGAATCGAAGCCAGACGAAAGCCAGTCGCGAGGCGCCCTCCACCACCCCCGACACGTCTTGTCTGTCTTTCTGTCTGTCGATCGGCTGGGTTGTTATTCCCGGAGTAAAAGAAAAAGACGGAGCTCCGAGCGTCGGTGTGGTGTATTGTGGGCCGCCATTGCAGCTGTCACAGTCGCAGCTTTGGTCGGGCAGCCAACTTCCCTAGCCGTGTTGCCTGGGCTGCGGTTCACCGGTGAGCCAAGATACTCGAACCTTTTAACGCTCTCTCTCCCGCGGGCAAAGCTCCAAGCGTCCTTAGCGTGGAAGAAGGGCTAGCCCGTCGCCTGCTCTTGCCACCAAGCACAGACTTGGGGTGGCGGCACACGGCGGATCGCGGCCTTTTTCTTTGCGGGTTTGCGCCCGGACTTGAACGCACGTGTGTTCGGTCGCTGCGGAGGTGAAATCAGAGTTATTGGCGGAAGGGTTGAGGACGAAACGGGGGCGTTCGGATTTCGGGAAAAGATACGGGGTTCCGCTTGGAGAAAGCACGTTTTCTTGATGTTAGGAACATTGAGGTACACCACCTGGTGCCGTAGAGGGCACGACAAGGCTGGATGCAGGAATGCAAGGTGTCGGTCGGCTCCACCGCAAGCCGGTCGTAGTAACCGCGTTGCGGGCGTAGTGAAAGGTTGGGATGGTGTGATATTTGCAGCACTAGAAAAACCCACCAAGTTGAACCCCTGTGAGGCACTTCCTGCCGTCGCTGCCGGCGACCCACGTCTGTGCAAGATTAGAGCCTTGACTGGACGTAGCTCATTGTCGCTGAGACACCGCCGCAGGTGCGAGGGTTGCCAATAGCTTTTCAACCTCGTTGAGCAGGCATCGCCGGCATATCAAAATGGGATTGGCGTTGCCTCCGATTGTTTGGTCGCTTTGCGCGATCGGCTTGACAAAACAAAGCTTCCCTGAGCATGCGACGGAAAGTCGTGCGTGGGGTATGAAGTAGTGCGGCGTCGGCTCGTTTCTGCACAGCCAGTCCACATACGGCTTGCATCGACTTGCTGTGAAGCTGATGTGGCGTGCTTCCTTGTTGCGGGGGTGGACATAGGCTCGTACCGCGAGATACAGGTACTCCAGTGGCAGGACTGTTCCAAGAACAGGACAGCTGGACGTCAAGCATGTCTTGCTCAAGTGCTGTCGTGAGCACCGGATTGGTTCCTGTTTGCACGAGTAGCGTTTGCCACTTTGCTGGATGGAACAATCTGTTCTAATTTCTCGATGTGATGGACTAATGGACTAGAGCATTCTACACATCTGAAAAACAACAACTGAGAACGGACGGATACGGGGGTGATGATCGCTTGTAGCTACCTAACATTCAAGGGTTGCACATCTTGAAAAATCGGCCAAGGTGTGGTACTTGTTGACCTCGCTCTTGAACTGCAGGGAGGAGTCAAAAGACATTGGATCCGGTATAGTCTCCATGTAAATCTTTCCCGTAAAATCATGTAGTTCGCAAGTACTTCAAAGGTTCAAGCACGACCCGAGCGTGGAACACGGCACGGAGCGAAATAAACGCGGGAAAGTAAAAAAATAACGGGATATAAAACTGAGGCGGGGCGCCCTATCTTGTGAAGAAAATGTGCAAAACGTCTCTCCATCCTCAAGCGATCCAGCTGTTGCGTGGCAGAAGACGACTCACTGGACGCGTCGCTTTTGCACGAAGTTACACATCAGTCCATATCCGCGTGCTATCTGTGGGTACCGTCGCTGCTGCCTCGAGCCGGCTGACCCTAGGACACATGCACACACAACAAGAGCGCCAAAGCGTAGGGGTCTCTGAAATTATCGACTGCGTGCAACGGCTGACCGCGGGAATCGATGTTTGTGCGTAGGTGAGCGCGCGTGGATTGCGGGGTCGTGTGTGATCGTACGTTGAGTTGAAATCGGTGCCAACTCCGGCATTCAATAATCTTAAAGAGATGGTTCCCAAATTTGCGGAGTCGGAGGTCGTGTTCTGTTGGATCAGAGTGAAAAGTGGTTGTGACTGCCTCTGCCCCTCCAGCAACGGCGCTCAAACGCCCTGGTTCCTGACAATTGGGTCAGCTAGCTTCCCTGTGTTCGCAAATCTAAGTTCAGAACTTCTGCAGCGAGCTCATGTTTTGCGCCGGTGACCTACCTCAAAAGCAACACTATGAACTCGGACCGGAAACCTTCCCGGTTATGCCGCTGTGGTTTCAGGGACGAAAAAAAATGCCCGCACCCTCTCCTTGGTACACAGACCACATGAACCTTTATCTCTTGCTGCGTCATACTTCGAGTAGTACAAGCTTACCGGTTTCCGGCGTGCAGACATAGCTTTCACTTGCGTCCGCGTCACCAAGGAATTTCGCGACGCCGTCCCAGCTGATGGTTTAGGCCTGCCGGTGAGAACCCAATGTTTTAGGCTGTAGCCCTCTGTGTGGAGTTGCATATGGCTGAACTTTAAATCGCGCCTATCCATTACAATACACGCTTCTAAGGGCTGTTTCTTCACCAAGGTGTTTCTTTGCTATGACATGCGTGCATTGACCTACTGTACGATCCTCAACGGTGCCCTTGGACTATCTGTACAACTGTGTTCTAGATCGATTCCCTGGCTGTGGCAGCAAAACTGGTGACGAAATGAGGCATTTACGGTCACCTCGTTGTTGATGTTTTCTGGGAGCCCCCCGATATCCTGTGTTGGCCCGCGTTGGCGTGAGGTGCTAGCTTACTCTCTTGTCGCAGCCTCGTCGGGACCGCGGCTGAATCTGTAGGGTTTGATGCTTGCGCAGGACTGGCAGTTGCCGCACGCTGTGTCGGTGAAACTGTCAATTCCTGTGGAGCTTCCGGCGGAACTTGGGTCATGATGCCTGGGTCAGCGACCTGTGTTTGCGCGCCACAGCGAACATTGCCTTAGGACGTTCATGCCGGTGGCGGCCAATTAACGCTGTCCGCGGTAGTCGAGCTCTTGGTGGTATCGAGATACATGACACACAATGCATGACACAAGCATCCATTCGCTGCTTTCTCCTCTACGGCATCGCAATACCATGCCACCCCATGCGTTTGTCTTTCTTGTGCCATACACAGAGAGGGACGAGCTTGGAGCGCATCCGTTGTGTGCTTGTTCTGGTATCGTGCTTGGGTCAGATTGGCGACGGCCAATGGGCACGGAAAAAAAAAGTCAACTTCTCCTATGACGTATCTGGATGAAATTTGCTAAACTTCCACACGCCGAGCGCAAACAAATGCGAGCCATGACGTTGATAAGCGACACACCACATATTGTCGGGAGTACCAATAACGTATAGCAGAGGCACAGCAAAGATCGCATGTGTAATGAGCAACAACGTGCTCGTAGACTTGGATCGGAAGTTCACGGTTCTAAAATTGATCTCACCTCACTCCCATTGTCGTCGCCGCCGGAATCAACATATACTTTGTGGGTCTTCACTGTCCCCCAGCTCACACCCTTTTTCCCCTCGCCCGCTGGAGGGCTTACTGTTGAGGGCGTGTGGTCGACTTTCGCCCCAGGCATCACTTGTGCTACCACCGCAAACAGGAGTGCGACGAAGTCCA